GATGGGCAAATTTTTATCAGACCTTTATTTTTAACCCTACCTCCTTGTAAAGAATATCTGCAAATAGTAAGCTCTTCTTCGCCGTGGCTCGGATACCACAAAATGGCGGTCCTGTCTCAATTATTGGAGACGTTAAATATAGAGGGCAACACGTTCATAAGTGCTAAGTTGGCAATACTCACGTGTCACCCTCTCTAAAAAAAATTTTCATTTCAATTCTGGATTTTGATTTATATGTTTTTATATATTTATATWTTATTAGATTATAGATTATACACCTATTTCAATAAAAGTTTGCATCGCGATAGGCGATAGGTCATTCCGACATGGAAATGGTTTCGTTGAATACAAAGAACAGCGAATCAGTCTCAGCACGAAGGTCCATACTCTTGACGAGAATAAGAAGCAGAAACAAGTCATTCCAGCTATTCTTGGATCTTGGAATGACCTATCTCCTATCGCTTTTTGTTATTGTCTATCGCTTTTTTCGATGACAAAGTTTTTTGAAATAGTTTGAATAGATGTTTTTATGCACGGGCGACTAGCTGGTTCTAAGTCTACATCTGCATTGTATGATTTGATACCGTGTAATGTAGAATAGAAAATTACAATCATCAAATTTTAAAATAAAGCATAAACAAACTAAAAAGTATTTTTTTGTGTAATTTTTCGTCATTTTCTTTTTTGTTTGCGAAGCTTAAGAAGTGATGGTACGCAGAAGGTTGTAGGAATGCAAAGAAACTGCACTGCGAAAGCTATTGGGAATCAGTTACGTGTAAGCGTTAGTGAACTGGCTTCTCACCTCTCGAGTGTTAGATTGGATTTCTCCTTTCCTTTACACAAAAAGGGAATTATAATAAAAGTGCTGGAGATTTCATTATTTTTTTGCAAATCTTTCCAAGCAAAGTGCAAAAAGGGGAACTTGGATTTATTACAGACCTCTTTGCAAGGTTTCGCCCTGCATGTTATCCACACACGCGAAATCCTCCTTGGACGATGATTGGGTGCCGTAGTGGTTTTCTGCTCGCCTCTCACCGCTGTGGTCCGGGTTCGAGCCCCGGCTCAGACTGATCATATTTTATTTGAGTTTGTGTGATGCGTTGTTCTATCCCTTGCCGCGAGGGTTTTCTCTGGAATTTCCAGTCTCCTCCCTCCGTAGAAATCAACATGTGAGTTGAGTGTTGTATGTTGTNTATATATGTATATATATATATAAATGAATTCCTCCAGAGTCTTAGGACAAAGCAGGAAGACGCTGGAGGACTCTTTATTTAAGCGTCTAGTCGTTCTAGCGTTTCGCACTAATTGGGGGCGCTTTTCTTATACACACTACCACTATGACATTTAATATTGTATGCACACAACGCTCAACTCACACGTTGATATTTCAGTTTTACGGAGGACTCAGAGCGGTGAGATGTTCAGCGGTAAGAGATCAGTTGGGAGCCCTGTGTTGTTTCACTCCCTCCGGGTCATATCATAACACAGGACCCCCGTACCGTATATTATCCATGTCTCGTTCGCTGTCTGTAAAGTTTGCTGTTGGTCTTATATTTCTTGCTTTTCTTCTCCAAACATTCGTATTTGAGGATCATTTCAGCGTGAAAGACTTGATATGGAACTCAAAAAAAGGTAGGAAAGCGTTATAGCTATTGTTTTCTATATCGTGAGCTTATTTAAGTGAAAAATGTTGAAAACTTTCAAACAAACATGTCAGAATGTGACAAGTTTTTCATACTTTTAATCACTATTATCTGTAAATACAGGCGTAGTTGCTAACGTCAGTTGCTGCTGTTGTTCCTTCAGCTGCTAAAGTTTTTTTTTGTTTATATGGTTGTTTTTGTGTGTTTTTGACATGAAATSTGGTTGTGAACTTGATGAAGTTTGCTAAGGGCTAGCTAAGCAAACTAGCCTTGCAGTAATGGATGGAAATATGGATAAATCACAGGTAGCCCAAACAAGGTTCCTGTGTATGGTTTATAAGGGAATGTATGGGAGTTATGATTAAACAGATCAAAAACAGTTTTCAGTGTTCTCCCAACATCCCAAGTGTTTTGATCAGATTATCAAACACATAAAACTGTTTTTGATTTGTTTTACAAAATAACAAATTCGCAAAAAGGTCGAAAAAAAGCAAAGTCTAAGTAAATTCTCCCTACGTGCCGTCTTATTCAAACTGACCAATGAGCGCGCGCGATAGATTAGAAATGACGGTAGCATGTTTTGATACTCTCATCAAACATGGTTTTCGACCAATCATAGCGTGCGTAGTATCCCAATTATTTTATAAAAAGTCATGACAATAAAATGTTTCACAGAAGAGCGGATTTTGAAAAAACCCATTAAATGGCCTCAAATCGCGCTGAAACTTCGCCAGAAGACTGGACAAAGTAAAAGCAACAACTGCAGCAAGTTTTGAGGCAAATTGTTGAGTGAATCTTTTTATTGTCATGACTTTGTCATAACTCCCTTACTTCCCTCATAAACCATTCACAGGAACCTTGTTTGGGCTGCCTGTGGATAAATAAGAGGGGTGGAGGTTGCAGGAATTTATGTTGCACGATATTTATATTTTGTAACGACTCTTGCAAGAATTYTTTTGTGTTTGCTTGATATTTAGTTACCGTAAGGAGAGGTTGCATGATATTTTTTTCATAGGTGAAGTTTGCTAAAGATATATTTTTTTGCATTTATACAACCCCTTCAATTATCTAATTGTCAGGAAGGTGGGATGGATAAGTGAGTGRGYATAAGAGTGAATAAATAAATGAATGAATAAATGAACATTATGGCTCTTAATTATTTGTCCTATCCAGCATATTACCTAAACAAGCCATCTTATGACATTATCATTGGAGTGCTTTCTGCCAGGCATCATTTTGAGTTGAGGAAAAACCTCAGAGAAACATGGGTTGGTTATGTGAAAAACAACAAACACTTGAAGAACAGGTAAGTAATTCAATCTTTGAACTGTATGTTGGTTTATAGTACTGTATGTGATGATAAATCTTAGGACAAAATTATCTTACAAATTTCCATTAGATTAAAAATTAAGCATAGTGATCTCATTATTTTATTCACCAATTGTATGCTTTGTTTCATTCACTATGCTTTTTTGATTTGTGTGGCCRTAGATTGCTGATCAAGTTTATTGTTGGAAAAGAAGCTTGTCTAATACCAGTCCAAGACAGACAAGACCCATACTCATGTGAAAAGAATGGTTTTACATTTAACCCAGGTAATACCTTGAATAACTTGTCCATTTTGAATATTGCTAGTTTAAAGGTCAAGTGGTTAACACAATAATGCAACTTGTCACACAACAGCAATAGAGCAAAAGTATGAGCACATTTAATATATTCACATACTTCTACAGTATGCACTGGCTTTTGTACGTTATACCGACACATTTTGATGTGAAGCTGGCTGGTTTTACCAAATTAGTCGTGTAAAAGCTTGTTTGACAGCAAAAAGCCTGTGCATAGAAGCATGCAAATGCATTAAATGTTGTCATACTTTTGTGCATTTTATGCTGTAAATGTGACATCACTTGTATGAAAAAACAACTTTTGGATCCAAAAAAAGCAACTTCTACAAATATTTTTATTACCGTAAATCCTCTATTTAGCCCCCCCCCCACCTCTCTAATAAGCACCCCGTTTTTAAAGGAAAAAATTCATTAAGCCCCCCTCTCTTTTTAGCTCCCCCCTCCCCTCCCACTTCACAACTAAAGAATCACATGTTAATGTACCAATGGAACATTATTAATGATTGTTCAGAACATTTTTTTTTTAGCTTGCTTTGTTAATGTTACCATGTTTTAGTTTTGCTATTCACATTAATTGTAAATTATACTTGAGAAACTAACACAGGTGAATCAAATAATAATGCGAGACGGTCAATAGTGAGTTACAATCATATTACATCCTGACAGCATACAACTTACTGCGTTTCAACTAAATCAATAAGGCCCCCCTCTCAATTAAGCCCCCTCTCTCTAATAAGCCCCCCCTCTCTAATAAGCCCCCCCTCAAACGTGCCTGAAATAAATAAGTAATAAATAAGATTTACGGTACTTTTTTTTCATGTCAGGATTTGTTGTTCAAAGTCGTAATTGTTTCAGGTGGAGATTAAATCGTTGAGAACATTTTACGAGAGCAACTTGTTTCCCTTTTAGGGATTTKATTTCTGCTTCACAACAAAAACGTTTTCATTGGCTATTTGGTRTAATTTTTTTCACCGACAGAGAAACCCATTGGTAAATTTGTAAAATAAGTAGAAATGAAAAGTCGTTAATCCCTTCCAGCATGAAAAAAGAGGGCAGAGGACTTTTAGAAAGTCTAACCCCAGCCTTCTACAGTCCCTGTGGACAATATGTTTCTCCCCCGGT